CCAAAAAATCACTCTCAAAAAGTACACACCCTAGATCTAATATAAAAAAGTGACAGTAGATGTTGAACCTATTAAAAAGATGGCCTTTGCTGTAAAGCATGGAGACCACAGGTATGAAGTATTACATTTAGCTTTCTGTGGTTTACAGGGTGGTGTTCAATTTGCTGCAGAGCTTTAAAAATTTGTAAAAAAAAAAATCATTTTAGGTCCTGGTTTAGGTCCTTTAGTTAAAAAGACTAAACTGGAATTTTCTGGGGAAAATAAGGATAGAAACTGGACAATCTTAAATGCCCAATGTATTGTTAGAGCTAAAGGATATTACATCTCCCAAGTTATGTGTCTGCTCTTTGCTGGATCACGTCTTTTTTTTAGCCTTGCACTTCTTTGTTAGTCTTTAACTTGTTGATTTATAATTATTTTGAATAACACTGCATAATATGTTATCATTTTTAGAAAAAACATTATTACAATGTTATTATTACAATGTTACCATAATGATGGGACAAAACAGGCAAAATAGCCTATATAAAGAATTTCTAAAAAATTTAAAAAATTTCTGCAATATTTCAAAAATATTTACAGAACTTTTGGGAGAAAAGTAAAGACAACTTAATTTTTTTTAGCTATGAACTGTTTAGGTGCATATGTTGCTATTTGCAGACTTTAGTGATTTCACTGGGTTTTTTAATTTGGGCATGCTTTCTCTGGATCTAACTTTCCCCAAATTACAACTTGATTAGCCAAAAAAAAAAAAAAAAAAACATATATGTGTTTCAATTTTCTTCTGTGACAAACCCCTCTTGTATTTCCACCTCTCTCCTACTTGTCATTAGTAGAAAGCCTTACAGAGATAAGCAGTGACAATGGCTGGTGTGGAGGCCTGGATCACAGTTGTTTTTATCTCTCACTCCATCTGCAGCCTGTGGCGTCTCTCTCAGAGGATGTTGTTTAGCCAAGTCAAACATTCAAACATCCTGTGGCATCATCCTGCCTATATAGCTGTGCATCAGTGTCTCACACACAAAAACACACCCAGACACAACCCTTGTTTTATAGAACTTCACACTTTGCTGAGTTCTGGCACTGTGGATGGTACACAGGCATGAGAACGCCATTTGATCTCATAGGAGTGCCAGATAGATTTATAATTATTGCTTGTAATCAATGTAGTTATTGTATTCATATCTAATTACTTCTGTAATTAATGTACAACCTGTACATTATTTACAAGGGAAAAAATTTGATTTCAAATCTCCCCTTAAAGAGCATTTTGGACAAGGTAAAAGCAGCTCAAAAATGAAATAAAATACCACACACTCCGTAAATACACAAATTGTAAATAACAAAGGTAATTGAAAATGGACGCAATCTAATTAAAAGATATATCTTCAGTTTGATTATAAGCAAAGTTCCCCTCCTAATGTTTACATCCAGTTATCTAATCAATGATAATGAAATGTTTAAATTCACCTCAATGAATAATTGGGTTTAAACAGCTTTTATTATCAGTGATAAGCTATTTTGAAATAAAAGTATTTCATAAAAGGGAATAAAAAGTTTGATGTTTGCAGTGACATAGCTGATGAAGCCTCAGTATATTTACAGTGATACATTTCAAACTGTGGCTTTATTCTGGGTCAATCTTACCAGAATATAAGAGCTTTAAAGAGACATTTAATACAATTAATCTTCCATAATCACGCAAAGTATTTTAAAAAAGTGATCAGAATCAGAATCAGAAATACTTTAATAATCCCAGAGGGAAATTACTTTTGTTACACGCTCCATTTACAGTTTTACATGATATATACACACATCCAACTATACAATATAATAAAAAAAAAAAATAAGAATTAATAAGAGATAAAATATATACACATATAGCTCTTCTGTATATATATCTGTACATATATCTATGCGTATGTAAAAACTAAATCCAAATAAAGTGAAAAGTCCAAGTAAAGTGATGCATCTCTTTTTGTGTCCTCAAAAGAAATACACAATTTTATTCTAAAAAATAAATGCAAGCTGCATCTTGAGCTTTGTTTTGTTCATTACAAAAACATTTTGACATTATATGAGGCTTCAGAATGTATATAATCTAACAACATACACAGATCTTTCCTATTGTTCAGATATTAAGTTTCTCTTCGAGCCATGAATCGTGGTGACAGCAAAAACATTGAAAGACTTTGACTTAGCTGGAGAACAATAAAAACACTGATTTCCCTCTAGCATTTAAAAATAAAAATGCACAATATTTCTTTAACTGTGTTAACAGGCCCACTTTCACACAGTTCTGATATAGTGACTTTTTTTTTAAAGCTAACAAAACAAGAAAATAACCACAAGATTTGACAATCAACCCTAAAAGCGTAAATACTTATATTTCATGAAAACCTTAAACACTTTTTTTTATGATGTTACATCAGGTCTGCATTTTTTATGCAATGAGTTTGGCATTTTTTTTTCTATGTATTTCCTTTTGGGTGAAAAGTGCTCTTTTATTTTGTGAAAACTAGATTAAAAGTTTAAAACTGACCCAAGTGGAATGCTCACAGCTTTAGGCAACCACAACCATGCTTCACAGTGGGTAGGGGAACATAACGTGTGTGGTGTTCATTTAGTACCAAAAATGTAATTTGGCATGTTCAATATATAGATATTTCTCTATGACAGAATGTAACAACAACAACAACAACAACAAGATGAAAACTTGTATTAGAGTTGTCAAATCGCTATGATGGAAACCCTTCCAATTGTGTATTATAAGTAGTTTATGCAGCACTTCTAAATTTAAACTTTGGCTGGTCTCTGTTAACTTTCATCTTCTTTTTTTTTTTCCTAAAAATTGCTTACCTGACTACACTCACTCGCACACATATGGAGACACACACCTCTTCGGCATTAAGAGAGAGGAAGCCCCAGAGCAAGCAGGTTAATATCAGGAGCACTTGACAACAATGGGGTGTTATGAGGTGCTGCAGTGGTAATAAGGTCTTTGTTGGGACTCTAAAGCACAGCCACATCACATCATTACTCATCCTGGGAGACCAGGCACTAGTAGGCATGGCAACCGGGACTTGGCTGAAACCAGAAGCAAGACCAGAATCTCAATGTAGAAAGGGGAACACACAGAAACACACATGCGCACACACACAACAGTGTTCTGGTGAGATGAAAAAGTTCAGAAGCAGCCTTGGTGACCACAGACTGGAACCTTCAAAATGAGAGAATCTACAATGTCAAAATTAAATTTATTTTTCATGAGAAATATGAGAAAATCAGTTTTAAAGAGTTGCAGTTGAAATTATACATCACCCCTGAACTTTGATGCTGGTATATCTAAAATAGCTAACTTTGATAAAGTCAGGGTGAAATTGAATTGACCATCTAGTCAGACAGGAAATTGAATCAGTTAGCCCATGCTGAGTGTATGAATGGATAGATTAGGAGTGGACAGTGTGCTGGGCAGAGGTATGCAGCGGTGTGAGAGTTTCCTCCTGCAGGTTTCTGGGAGTGTTGGGTCAGCACAGAGCGGTCAGCAGCTGCTGCCTGGCCTAGGTCCCACAGTTCCCAGGCTGGGGGGATTGACAGGCCAGTAATAAAATCAGGCGCCCTGGTTGGGCTGTGTGCAGCCCATTGTTCCCCCAGCAAGGCCCACGGCTGCTGTTTACTTTCTCCCATATGCATTATTCAACGGCACAGGAGCTCCCGGAGAAAGGGGCCCTATTCAGGGATCCTCTTGCCCTTGTTTTGTTTTGCTAATTTTCAATTAAAATAAACCATCTCTTGCCAGTGCCATGGCTGAGTGGGGAAACAGAGTGGGACACTGTCCCTGTCATTTGGGACGTCTGAGGAGATTAGACAGAACGTGTAAACGGGAAAAGTGGGATGTATCATTCTTAACTGTTGGTGATATGTTTTCTATGGAAGGATTTAATTACAGACAATGAATATTGTTGCTCTTTCAGATTGGAGCATAAGCCTCTGCCCCATCTTCATGTCGATGTTTTTTATGTTTGACTTATTTTATCTGTAAAAGAAGAAATCAACATCTTTAAGATTTTCTGTCTGAAGTCAACATGTTTCCTGTTGAAGACGGCTGTAAATCTCATCCTTGAGGTCGCAACAGGAGGATTCCCATATGTTAAGGGAAAGTGTGAACGGATCATAAAGACGATGACTCTTCAATAATGACTCCCAAAGGTCATTAAATGAAGCCAGCCAGGGCAACCTGGACTAATCAATAAGTCCAGTGATAGTTTCCACTTTAGCCTGTTATTATTCTCACAGGAAGGGGTTGGGCCATCCTGCTAGAGAAAGGGGACAGATGCAGGGACAGTGGGGAGTTTGCAGAGCTAAAGATTCACCACACATCTGTCACTTCAACCAGAGCGGTAGCATAAAGTCTGCCCCCACTGAGTGCATGCCTTCCTTCCTAATGTGATGCCTACCTGTGGCTTAGGTCTACCATATGTCTCCTCTGAAAACCTTGCCTGCCTATAATCCTCACAGGTGTCTTAATGTTTTACTTTAACATCCTAGATAGTTTTATAAATCCTCATCGATAACCTGAGGCCACTGACAGGAAGAGGTAGAGTTGGAGGTAGAGACTGTGACTTAGACAACTTTTATTGTCATTTTTTATACACAGAGTGCATACAAAAGAAAATGTATTTTTGTACAGCTTTCATGACATTAACATTCCTTAAAGTGTGGCAAAGATTAAATGTAAACAGTCTGGGGGTGAAAAACTGAGAAGTAAAAACATGGTGCAAAGAAACACATTGATATGGAAGTTCAGAGCATTAAATGTAAGGTGCGTATATGTAGTGTTGTGGTTTGGTGTTGTCAGTGTGATGCAGAGTCTGTGACGTGATTTAGAGTTTTCTTAACAGTTCAGTTGTCTGATGGCAGTGGGTAAGAAGCTGTTGCGGAATCTGCTGGACCTGCATCGATTGCTTTGAAGCCTCTTCCCAGAGGGCAGCAGGGAGAACAGTCCATGGTGGGAGTGTGAGGAGTCACTAATGATGTTACGGGCTCGGGACATGCAGCGTTTAGATGAAATGTCTTTTATGGAGGGAAGAGGAGCTCTGATTATCCTCTCTGCTGTTCTCACTACTCTTCTCACCTTCTTCCACTCCGTAGTGCTGCAGCCTTCACACCACACAGTGAGACAGCTGGTCAGAGCGCTCTCTATGGTGCTTCTGTAGAAGGTGGTGAGGATGGTTGGTGCAGGTCCTCTCCTCATCCTCCGCAGGAAGTACATGCACATTTGTGCCCTTTCGACCAGTGAGGAGGTGTTTACAGTCCAAGTGAGGTTGTCTATGATGTGTACCCCCAGGAATTTGGCACTGTTGATCACCTTTACTGCTGAGCTGTAGAGACAGACGAGTGGCGGGAATGAGTTTAATGTTTTCAAGAAAACTCATAAACAAGTTTCTAATCTTTTCAGGATTCTGGTGGAGACATGAATACTTTTGTTTGTTTACTTTCCGAAACCTGACAGCAGGGTAATGACGTCACTGAAGAAATGTGGCACTGACTGGATCACCTGTAGAGGCTTATGAAGCCAGGAGACAAGGCTAGCAGAGTAGGGCTTATTGGTAGTGAGTAACAAAGCAGAATGTAAAGATTGGTGATTGGTCAGGCCAGAATCATGAGGCTTTGGCCCTATTTTAGCTACAGATGCACAGATTAATGTTTTTAGGATTCAATCTTATATCAATAAAGAGGCTGATTTTAAGAGCCAATATACAATACTGATCCGATAATACTGTTTATTGACTTAACCTTATACCTTGCCATGTAAATATAGTTTCAAAAGATAAAAAACTGACACAGACATAAATCTTCACTGGCTGCAGTGTGTGCTCTGCGTGATGATGGAATCAGAAGTGGCATCAAAACATTGAAATCACTAAATCACTGAAACTGTATTGCTGTGTATAATATCAAAAAGAATAGAAATGACTAGATCGGAATACTGGATCAGTTATTTAATTGTCAGTTATATCAGATCCAGCTAATTACTCAATATTGGAGCTGACATCCAATCGGAATATTGGATCAGTCTCTATTTTTAGCGGTCGAATATAATGTGCGGATCAAATAACCCATACAGCTCAAAGACATATTAGTTTTTAAACCCTTACCCAGTAACCGAAGGTTAAGGATGACGTTGGCTGAACATCATCTGAAAGTCAAATATTAAATGTAAAGGTTTGACATTCATGTTACCTGAGTGTTCAATGGCTAAGATAATGAAACCAGTTTTCATTTTTAATACATTTTTGCAGCTGTGAGTAATCTTTTGTATCAAGGTTGGAAATAGGGTGGAGTTCTGACATTTAACAGATGTTCTGTGAATGTCCATAGGATGTTCTTATAAAATGTGATTATAAAAAACTTCCATACTGCATGGATCCTCTTTATGTATAACTATGCACCATTGTCTAAAGAGAAACTCCAATTTCCTGTCCTGCTTTGCATTTATTCTAACGTTAAGTAAACATCTTTTACAACATCTAATAAAAATTCATTATTTAAGAATAAAAATTATGGTGAACAAACAAAGGGGGCATTCTAGCCATATGACTGAGCCGCCTCAACTTGCTCCTTTTGACGTGGAGTAGCAGCGGCTCTACTCTGAGTCCTTCCCGGATGACTGAGTTTTTCAACCTATATCTGAGGCAGAAACCCTGTGGAGAAAACTACTTTCGGCTGCTTGTATTGTGAATCTTATTCTTTTAGTCAACACTCAAAGCTCCTGAAAAGAGATGAGGGCAGAAATGTAGGTAAATTAAGAGCATCGACTTTTGACTCAGCTCTCTCTTAACCATGACAGACCGATACCGTGCCCACTGCTGACACAGTACCAATCGCCCTACCAATCCCCCTGTCAATCTCCCACTCCATTTTCCTCATTGGTGGACAGCAAACCAAGGCACTAGTACTCTTGCACTTAAGGCAGAACATCTCCAACCTGGAGATGGGCCTCTTCTCATTTCCAACTCAAGACAATAGTTTTGAATTTGATCCTCATCCCGGCTGCTTCACACTTTTCTGCAAACTGCTCCAACAAGGGCTGTAGATGTTTGTGTTTATGCATTTAGCAGACGCTTTTATACAAAGCAACTTACAAAGTAGACATAATTTTACAGTTATGATCAATATGACGATAAGGAAAAATCCCTTGTCAGAATCAGTGGTGACAGCAAAGTGAGAGAGGGACGGAAGTGCAGAAAGAGTAGTAGAGGGTTACAGAGGTATGGGTAATGCTAACTGCATGCCATAGAGGTACCAGAAGCAGCTAGTTTACATGCAAAGTCTATGTTTGACGAGCATCATGGAGCATCAAAAGGTCCTGCAATGCGTTTCGAACATCAGGAGAAGCACATCTTGATGCGTCTGAGCAGCTGAAGCAGCGCCTTATGAGTATCTGACCACGGGATGCACTGCACAAGCAGCAGATGTTGGATTTGAAAAAAATTTGACTTTTGCTGCTCGATGCACCACATTACCCAATCAGAGAAGCTGATTGGTTGATGTGCCACATCAAAGTGGAAGTGTCCTACCCTTCTCAGGGAGACTTGATTATCCATGAATCGAGGTGAGTCCGACTTTTTCCAACCAAAACCTCTCTGTCTCACCCACCTGCTCAGGCTCCTTCCCCACCAGAACATCCGACATCCTGAGAGCCAGCTTCTGCAGCCTAGAATTGAATCGCCAAAGTCTCTGTACCCAACCGTCACACATTTCACATTACACCAAATACCTTTGGCCTCTCCCAACGATGGTGGGCAAATCAGAAGGAGGCCCAAGTTTTCTCTTCGAGCTAAATGATGAAGTTTATGCAAGTCTTTATTTCCTTGTTTATTACAGGTGTACAGATTCAACTGTGATTACATCCCCAACTCCACTGCTTTCTCTATGTACGCCTGTGGCCCTCTTAATTGGACCCTCCTCTTATGGGATAAATTCGACTAACATGTTACAGGGAGGAAAAGAAATGGTGATTTCATCACAATATTTTGTATGTGATCATTAATAGATGTAAGCTATTTTTGGATATTCATGTTTGTATGTGACTGGCCCATTTTGTAGTTAAATTGCAATGGAAACAAACTTTAATTGTGAGGAGCAAATGACAAAGGTTACAATCAGTGCATTAAGCTGGAACCAAAGCAACAGCAGTTATTACAGTTTGTTGGTTGAAAAGATTAATTAAGTAAGTATTAAGTAACTTTTCGGCATGTTCCTTTAGACCCTCTTGGGCTGGGGATGCCCATCCCTGTTCTAAAGTAAAACACAGCCCTGACCTTGCCAGAGTGCTTTGCCCCTTTATTGTCTGTTTCTACTGTGATGACTACTATCTATGTATACCTGTGGCGTGTACATCCCATCCAGGGGCTCCAGGGATCTCATCTCAATTGGAAACTATCAGGCAAATTTAATTGAAAATGTCTCATCAGTAACCGGGGTCTTCAACCCTGTTCCTACGGACCCACTGTTTTACATATTTTCATTTTTGATAAAGCTCAAAATGGCTTATGTTATCCTGAGCTATTTTTATGGTTATGCTGCTATAGGCCTAGGCTGCTGGAGGACCTTCAGACCACTTTTCATCATTGTGCCTTGTTCCATCTTTGTTTTTTTCAACCCCTTGTTTTACGTTCTTTTTCTCATCATAGTTTACTTCATCTCTCTGTTCCTGTTTGCTTGTGACACCATCCTGAAGAGAAATATCAGCTGGGCATCTGCTATCAACACTTTCATTAATAGATTATATTGACAGGTAGGGACAGGGATGGGTAGAATATCTAAAAAATTTCGAGTAAATGTTTAAGGAAATTATTCAATTGAGATTAATAAAGTATCACTTCATTTAAAAAGAAACTGATCACAGCATTTGATGGAGTATTTAAAAGAATGTAACAAGACAGAATAAAATATTAAAGTCTGAGCAAATTCTGGTATTTTAAGCACCACATTTACATGAATTATAGAAATGAATGACATGTTTGCAAAATAAATAAACTTAAGTAAGTAAAGCAATTTACAATTTCTTTTTTTAACCAAAAATAAAACTTACCAAACCAATCCTTACAGTAAGTAATGAATACATGCTAGAATAGTTTAAAGCAGGGGTCACCGACATAGTGCCCCAGGGCACCATGGGGGCCTTCTAGGACCTCTTGACCATGTGTCGTCAGCATCCTCTGAAAACAAAAACAACTCACCAGTGGGCTAAGATTAACATTTATTTTACTTCAAAAATGTATATAGCATGTATAGAGATTTCATAATAACAGTATGTAAAAGAAAATGAGAAATTACAGAAACAATAAAAACATGTTTTTTATGTATGAAGTTTAGGCGTATGCGATCTCTCTAGTTCATTGGGCAGTATTTGTAGCTCTTCCTATGACTCAGTACCCATGACATATCTGCAGTTTTTTGTATATCAACTTGATTTCTAAATATCATAGATTTCTCAGGAGATCGAATGTAAGCTTGTGTTGAAAAAAGTATACTAATTTTTTATTTTTAATTGTCAGCTTATATCTTGAATGATATTTCCATTAAAACCAGCTTGTTCTTGTACTTGAAAATGTATCTCTGAGTAATAATACCTAATAATAAAGTGGTTCAAGTAAAGGTATAAAGTATGGTGTAATGGTCTAATAGAGTTAATGCAACTAGTTACATTCACACCAACTAGTTACAGTTAGTGAATTCACTAACTGTAACTGGTTACTTGTTGCATTTATTTGTCCTAGTTACATTTGGTAAATGTAGTAAACATAACTTTAAACTAGACACATTGACTCTAACTAGTTACTTTTATTCTAGTAAATGCCATTCCTAGGTGTAGGTATGGTAGGAAACAGATGATGGATGGAAGGTGCCAGGAGTAAAGGAACCAATATTATTTGTAACTCCTCAGGAAGTGATTATTGACATGGAAGCAAGTAATGACAATTAATTTCTCTCTATCACATCTGCATAATAAAACTTTTTGAACATGTTTTGTGTCTAAATTTGTTGAAAAAGGATCATCTTATATAGGTGGTTATATATGTCTTTCTTTCACTTCAGTGAAACGACGCTGAGCTTAAGCAGTCAGAGAGTTATGTTACTGGTGGAACTTGGAAGAGCATGTGCTTGTATGACTTGGACAATGATTTTAAATGGGAGATTTTATATGTTTTCATTCAGAAATAAAGAGTTTTCCAACTGTTATTTTTCTTAAAATTTCTTGCACTACTTCACTGGCTTCAAAAACACCTGTTCACTGTTCCATGGATATGCCAGCTGAGAGCTTCTCAGCAGGGATGAAGTGCTTGTTGTATACCAACTCCTTTGCACACAATAA